AAAGCATTTTCAGGCATATTCAGAAAGTATTCGCATATTCGATAGAACATCCGCATATACGACTACATGTTCGTTCCGTTGATATGAATAAATACAATGTTGTAAATCTCTGTTCTTGTCAAGTAATTTTGAGAGGTTGGCAGCCCAACGCCATGTTTGAGTCAGTCAGCGCGACATAGATACGCCATGTTTGATTCAGTCCGCACGACATAGATACGCCATGTTTGAGTCAGTCCGCGCGACAACGATACGCCATGTTGGATTCAGTCTGTGCGACAAAGTTACACAATGTTTCATTCAGTCTGTGCGACAAAGTTACGCCATGTTTGATTCAGTCTGCACGACAAAGATACGCCATGTTTGATTCAGTCTGCATGACAAAGATACGCCATGTTTGATTCAGTCTGCACGACAAAGATACGCCATGTTTGATTCAGTCTACGCGACAAAGTTACACCATGTTTGATTCAGTCTGCGCGACAAAGTTACGCCTTGTTTGAATAAGTCCGCGCGACATAGATACGCCATGTTTGAGTCAGTCCGCATGACAACGATACGCAATGTTCGATTCAGTCTGCGCCGGACAAGCTACGGTACGTAATTGTAATTGTAATAAATAATTATAATTAGTTATGAGTAATTGTAAGTATGAAATACTAAGCTACGGTACGTGTCGCAACTCGAGTGGAACTAGAACTAACAAATACTAACTATAATATAATAAAACTAATAAACTAATAACAGAACACACCTGAAAAAGGTTATAGGAAGTTGAAAATTGACAATAAATATTAGATAGTATTTGCAATTATAAGTGATTATAAGTACGTAATACCAAGATACGGTACGTGTCGCGCGCCAGCGGAATTAAAACTGACAAATAATTATAATGTAATAAAACTAATAATAAAATTATAATAATATCAAATTAAAGGAATACTAGACTATAGTTTTACTGCATACAACTGTAGGCCTACTTACTGTATAACAAATCGTATACCTAATTTAATTGTTATAATTAATTATACATCAACGCTACGAAATTTGAATGGCGCCATTGACAGCCGCGACCGTGCTGCCACCCTGAAAAAGTTGCGCATTTCCCAATATATTTTGCACGTTACAGACCGAAGGCTAATCGCAAAGGTGCAATTATATTTATACCTAAATGCTATTTAACCGAACGATGTTCATTTTAGGACAAATTTATCCATAATATTACTGAAACTATATGTCGTTTATAAGATATTACAATCCTTTTGCTTTAAAATGAATAAATAAGAAACACCCTCGGTCTGTAGCCCTTGGCTGAAAAGTCGTTTTGCGCAACTTTTCAGATCGTGCGCTTTGAGTGGCGCCACCGTCGTTTGTAATCAAACTGTAGTAGTTAGTTTTAAACCATTAAAAAAATAATATTCTAATGGTGATTGAACCGTGAAACTTTTTATGTAGCGTAATTTTAACCTAAATTAACTGAAAATAACCATAGAACCTGGAGTAAAGGATCCCTTTAAGTCCGCGCCAGACAAGCTACAGTACACGTCATAATGCGCGTGGAACTAGTACTAACAAATACTAACTATAATATAATAAAACTAATAAAACAAATAACAGAACACACCTGAAATGAAGGTTATGGGAAGTTAAAAATTAACAGTAAGTATTAGATAGTATTTGCAATTATAAGTAATTATAACTACGTAATACTAAGCTACGGTACGTGTCGCCCGCCAGTGGAATTAAAACTGTTAAATAATTATAATAGAATAAAACTAATAAAACTAATAACAAGTGCAGCGGAGTGACAGCGCTCATCTAACGTCTACTGCGGTGACTCTGTGGTGGAGTGGTGGGATTCTAGTAAACCCTGTGTAGTCCCAAATGTGTTCACATACGCGCCGAACAGTGGAAGCGACAAGGGATGGTATCAGCACCTTCTCAAAGAATGGTTCGTTGGGGCTGTATGAAAGTTTGCCACGCAGATTGGCGCGTACCGGTTTAAGTGCTTCGATTAAGATGGGAAGCGTCCGCCCATCATACGTGGTAGCACAACAACTATTTGCAAGAACAGAATAGGTAATCACTCATCCATTTACCTACGCAAGCCTACAGGCTGGAAATAGAGAGCTACCACCTCGTAAACTATTTAACGCAGGCCAAAACATACACGAGTACTATCACACACTACAGTGCACTGGCCATGACCCCTGGCTAGTAGGCATAAGTTACAATGCTAACACGACCACTGACAGTACAGAATCCATAGAAATTATACGATTTTAAGGAGCACTAAACCTTCTTCCAACCAAATTTAGCTTTAAAATCTTCACTGTGACGGTGTAGCCTCATACATCCAAGCATGTTTTATAGATTCTACTAGCAAACCCCGGCAGTCAAATTACTCCTTCTAACAGTAAACAAAATCCATGTTTAACCTTCCTCTTGAGGGTCAAAAGGTTATCCGACACTTACTCTTCGCATGTCAGCCCAAAATAACATTTCATGGTCCTTTCAATAAAGCCATAAAAATGCTAGGTCACCGCTGAAACAAAAAAGTTTTTCAATCGCTCCATCAGACCATGTCCTCAGAAAATGTCTAAAATCTGCCCTGTGCACAATTGACCTTTGACCTGTGACCTCAAATTTCAGCACAGTGATGGCTTTTCCTACCATAATGCTATACATCGACTATCACGAGCCTAGGTCGAGCCGTTTAGATTTGTGCCGCAATTCTGTATTTCCTCCCTATACCTTAAGTTAAGAAGGGAATGTTCCTTCTTCTTTTGCACCTATTGACCTTTGACCTTTGACCTTTGACCCCTAGCTTCTACATCCCAACTCGTTTTGACTTTTCGGATTACCCCCCACGTCCCGAATATCGTGACCGTACGTCGAGCGGTTAAGATTTGTGCCCAACTGTTGACGGACGCACAGACGGAGTTAACAAAACACAACTGAAATGATGGTTATAGGAAGTTAAAAATTTACACTAAGTATTAGATAGTATTTGCAATTGTAAGTAATTGTAAGTACATATTACTAAGCTACGGTACTTGTCGCGCGCCAGCAGAATTAAAACTGTTAAATACCTATACTATAATAAAACTAATAATGAAACTACGATAATATTAAATTAACAATAATAAATCATTATCATCATCATTCCTATTACGCATTATTAATTACTTAAATTATTAAAACACACACGAAAAAGGTTATAGGTTAAAAAGTAGTTAGTATTAGATAGTAATTGCAATTATAAGTAAGCGTGAGTATCAATAGCATAATATATAATATATAGTAAAATCATATTTAAAAATTTATTCGCCTTAAAGCTAAAACTTGCCCCCCCCACGCACACACGTCCCGGTCGCAAATTTTTTTTTCCCAAACGGTATAACATAGCGAAGAATTTAGTGCCTTCTATTTGCTGCTTCGATTTGCTTTGCCTTTGACAAGAGAACAAACGCCCATTTGTAAATGTTTGTTTGGGTTTATGACCGCTAGATAAGTACGTTTTATGATTATTTTCCATGAAAAACACATCTTTTCCTCATTAATATAACATATAATATCACTATAATTGCAATTCTTTCTGCAAATGTGTTATTTTCATCTCAATCTTAAACGCCTCCTTTAGTGATATCTATAAACTGTCTAATTTTTACAATTATTTGATGCTAGTATCATAACGTAAATAACCAAAGCATTTGTATGTTTTTTAGTTGCCTCTGTGATATGTAAAACACGTCTTTATGTTGGGTCTATGAATGTTGAAAATCAAATCTTCTGCCAAACCGGCCACCTGGCGGGAAAACAGCTGTGACGTGAGACCAGGTTCTTCCCGCGTTGCGCCGCACACAAAGCCTGCATCAGTGCATGAGCACAAAGCTATCATCGGCTGTAACTTATATTGGGCATAAACATCCAACTGCCATATTAATTATCATGAGCATGATATATATATACATATATGCATTGTAGAATTTTACTACCGGATTAAACCACATTAATACTGAGACAATAAAATCGGTTCCAACCATATTCATATGCTGCTTTACTCAGCTCATGCCAATCTGCTCACAGTGTGTACCCAATACGTTTTTGTTCTACTTTCTGTTTGTTCGTGGACCGCGGTTAGTTTACGTTACAGGACAGCTGACCTCAGGGTTAAACACTACCTGCATATATTGATTATTATACTCGTACTGTATACACTGAGTTTCTTACGATACAAGTACTAAATGCACATTACACGTGAAATAACATTGTTACTATTATCATGTGCATAAATTCTACGTATTAAGTCCTGTCATAATTTCCACTACCGGTACGCTAAAACATTTACTATTGAGTCTG